ATAAAGACAAAGCTCTGCAGTTTTCTTCATGTGAATTTAGAAGATTATAAAGTCGTATGATACATTAGAAGACTAATTGATAAACAAAAATAATTTTATTACTTTTATTAAATTTTATAAAATATATTTACATAAATATGTAGCAGAAAATGAAAAAAAAATTTTGAAACAAAACCACTTTCAATGGGGCAGCGGAGGAAGAAGCTTCAGAAAAATTCGAGCTAGGCTACTGAATTGCTTGATGTGAATTCCTTCTGAAAGACTCTCAAAATACTTCCAAACTTCTTTCTTTTTCATTAAAATCGGTCAAGAATCACTTGTGTCTGCGGCACAGAAGAAGAAAAGAAAGTCGCAACATCACCTCTATCCTCCTCCGTGTCCGGTCCATACGGCTGCAATCGCTCTTGTTTGTTTCTTCTGCAACGCCTCTTTGAACTGAGTCCTCCGCTGCAAATTTGCGTTTGTTCTCAATTTGATTTCTATTTTCGATGTTAAATTAATATTATCAATAGAGTTCCAAAAGCTCCAAAAAACCCCCAGAACATTCCGTGTCCGCGCGGCTATGCTCATGCTAGACTAGCATCCATCTGTATTATCGATGTCGTCCGTAGAATAATCGTATTTGTACTCAATATCAATTTTAACCTCACTATCGGCGCTTACTGCAGTTAGATTCCTGACTCCAAATCCGCTCGCCATTTCGGTAAAAAGCTCTAAAGCTCCTCTAGGTTTGGGAAGTTTGTGTGGTTTATGTTTGGATACATCTGAAACAAAAGCTTTGTAGGAATAAGGAATCAGATATTCTCCGCTTGAGGGTATGTGTTCAATTATTTCTGAACTGTTTTAGTTTATATTTAAGAAAAATTTGTATCTTGAGCTTCTCGAATTTTCTTTTTAAGTAGGCAAATTTTTTTTAAAAAGTTAAATGAAATATTAACAATAAATTATGAATTCCAAGAAATATTTTGCTAATCTGGCACAAGGGTATATCGATGAAAATAGGAGATCCTGCTGTTTCTATGGAGCTGTTAAATGACACCGGATTCTTATTGAACTTTACGAAATAAGATGAAATGATCAATTCAGGTATGGTGTGAGATGAATTAAATACATTTTTTACAAAGTTGCAAATTTAAATTTTTGGGATTTATGGATAAAACGGCTCTAATTGCGGTGCTACGAACACAGTGATATTGCCGACTCTGTTAAAAATCTCTTTCTAAAAAATAAACCAAAATTATAAAATTTTATTTACATCTATATATATTTTTTTAATTTAATTTTCAAAACTTCAGATGAATGAAATAAAAAAACAACAATAATAAGAATCAAAGTACTACAAATTTAATTTAAATTTAATTACGTTTGAAATTTGGATTAAAATTTTCAAGAAAAATATATTTAAAAAATTGTATTGTCTAGAATTGAATTTTAAATTGCATTTAAAAACGTATGGAAGCGCTGCTTAAGTTTTAAAATTGATATAAAACAATGCAATATTAAAATTATTAAAAAAAAATATGTAAATTATTTAAATCTCTAACTAATTTAGGTCTCAAGGCAACCCGGAAATTGACTTTGGGCCAAATCTTCTATGCATTTCTTTGAATGTATGTATGCACGAAAATGTGAAAAACTTTGCCCGGATAATAAAAGCAAATATACATGTATGCTTTTTGATACATGTACATATATTTATGCATAAACAATATAAATAAAAATTCCATAAAAATTATAACATTGCATTTATAGCAATGGTTTGGATAAAAATTATGAGTAAAATTGACTTTGCGAGCAAATTTCATGTCTCTCTTGTAAATTTTACATCCTTTTACCGTTTATTTGTAACTCGTCAGTCATACTCTCACTAAATATGCACGTGAGACGTGAGCTTACATCAAAAGAGAACCGCATACGCATAACGGCAGTCTCAGCTGTTTTTGACAGATACAGAAGAGCTCATAGTGATTATTTTTATTTTAATTTCGTTTGTTTAGTACGATGTTTTGGTTATAAACGCGCGTAAATAAAAGGAGAAACAAAATTGAATAAATTGTAATAATGTGAAATGGGAATTATAAATAAAAATAACTAAATTCGAATTTAATAAATATGCAAATTGAAGTTGTGCAGTGTTATGATGGTGTGCGTAAAGTGTTGCTTATCTACGAGCGGTTGAACATTTATCATGATATTGCTTATGTTTGTTATGCGCAAATTAAAAACCTCAAAGCTTTAAATGGATTTTTTTTTCTCATTCATGAGTAATATATAAAAAATATTTTATATATAAATATGTCCATATAAATTTGCACAAATTAATTACATACACACTACTCTTTGATAACGAGCCGCCAACGCTTTTTACTCCCCCTACACCGTTACCACATACATATTTGTCATTTTACCTTGACATTTTGACATAAATATCTACAATCATCTCTGGTATTCACCTTTGGATTCTTCTTAGATTTTTTTTTTTTGCAAAACTAAGTAAATTTTTAAGCAGTCATTATTAGCTCATTTGTTTACAACCACTTTTTTTTGTAGTTTTTCTTTTTCTTTCCCAAAAGCATTGCCAGCATAAAGTAATTCAAGTTTTTTGATAAAACAATTTCTGTATCCATTGCAAATACAAGTGTTGCGATGACAAAGCGAAGTGCAAGAGTACAAAATTACGAAAAAGAGTAAAATCTTAGTTAGCAACTAAGAGATTTTACTTAAAATTGTGCTACATCAAAGGCGCTCAGGGAAACTTGTTGATTGCACTAAGAATTGTTTGAGATATTTTAAATAAACTTAATTAATTATCTTAAACTAATGAATAGGCGAATTATTCTTACTGCAAACGGTTCTCTAAACTATGAATTAATAACTAATTGTGTAAATAAATATCTAAATAGATATATATGTAAATAATTAATTAATGAAACTATAAAAAAAATCAATAAATATATAAATATATAAAGTTTAAATTCATAAAAAAGAATAATATCTAAATAAATAATTGTTAAAAATAAATAAATAAGTAAATAATTTTAAAATATAATATTAATAAACATATATATTGTAAATAGAAAATAAATAAATAAATAAATAAATAAATGAATAAATAAATAAATAAATAAATAAATAAATAAATAAATAAATAAATAAATAAATAAATAAATAAATAATTAAATAAATAAATAAATAACTAAATAATTATATAAATAATTGTTTAAATATACAATTAATTAATATTCAAATAAATAGAATAAATAAGAAATACGTAAATATATAAAAATTAAGATAATAAAAAATATAATATCATATAAATGAACACAATATATATTATAAAAAATGGATGAAAACATATATTAATTTAGAAATAATAAAGAATTATGCAATATCTTAAATTATTAATATTACTTTACTTATTTTTTTTATTTAATTAAAAATAAATATATAAATAAATAAAACAAAAAACAAAAATAAATAAATGAATATTATATAAATAAAACGATATTTATATATATTATAGACAATTTGCGCTATGTAACCACTGAAGCGATTTTCGGCCGAATTCTTCCTCCAAATTGTGATTTTGCGTCTACAGTTTAAACTAAGCCGCCTCCGAATGGCTGATGCTTTGATTTGGTTGAGGGGTTGACATTCTCTGCCGAAAGGCGATCGCCATCAGACAAAATACATTACCGAGCCATCAAGTTTTAAGGGATTATCAGATACAGAGTTATAGCTTATACGCAGGCCCTAAGTAGTTTTTATGAAAGCAATTATTACTTTTCAATTTCAAATAAGGACAATGCAAAAATGTTAAGTGTTTTCCAATAAGAGGCGCCATTTTGAATAGCCTACTATTCCGATAGATGTCTTTTTTGAAGTTGTAATCTTTTGACATATGACAAAAAAAATTAGACGAGTAATAAAATCAGAACGATTCATCATCCTGACTCGATGGCTACGTCAATAAGCAAAACTGCCTCATGCCATGCGGTTTAAGGTTCTGTATAATCAATGGACCTTACTTTTACAAAAATAAGGCTTGAGCAATAGGCTAATAGGTTAACGTCGAGTCAAGGACAAAAGCATGGAGTTTTCGAAGCTAGTGAGTTAGCGTGGTGATGCGGCTATTTGGGTGATATTGTCTTCCACTCTTAAGAATTACGCTGATCTTTATCTCTGAAATGCCATTTTTCTTTGATAGATTAGCGAATATATCGAATGAAGGAATAATTTCTAACGAAATGAGTTTGTTAGTCTAATTCATTTTCCAATGAAATTTCGATCCGTTTCAATTTTATTGAAAAAATACCAGTTTTTTCAAAACATTGTTCTTCATTCAATCAATTCCTTAAGAATATACCTATGAATCACGCTTTAACAGGACATTATTGTGCATATAATCGTGCGACTGGACCGGTTACAAATATTGTAAGGCTTGTGCATTATCCTTTTCCTCGTACCACCTCATTTATCACTACTGTAAGTGAAAGTGTAAACGTCCTCAAGAGCTGCAACTTTCTCACGGCACATTGTGACGCCTTTTAGACTTGGACCTACAATTTCATCCATATCCCGCTCACACAACAACGGAAACCAGCACCTTCGGAGGATGCATACCATCTTAAATGCATTTTATTTACGTTAATTATTTTATGTACAATACAGTTCGTAAGTGATTCTATCGAAAAAGCGGCATTCCTGAAAATGACTCTTACGATGTTAGTGGTTAAAATATTGTCCACAGTTGTGAAAGAAAACACTTGCGCTCATATTACCAGAGAGACTTATTCGAAAAACGGCCGCCCTTTTTTTTTGTGAAGAATGTTTCCCACACACACACACACACCTGTTTAATACACCACCCACTAACAGCAACACGAAGCCAACCAAATAGCAAGCGAAATACGCACAGAGACTCTTGACACATTCGTTGTATTTGTATTTGTATACGTTGTCACGCTCTTTCGTTTTAAAGCTTTCAGCGGCAAAGTAGCTTTTTCGGTGCTCCAACGCCTGAAAGCATGCTTCTCCATGTCGACCGGCAGACTGCCATTCAGTAGAACTTGACTATTTGTAGTTTGCGGAGGGTCAGGAGCGTGACGAAGCATTGTCGTACACCAAAGGACGGCAAACGGAGTGTGTCAGTTAAAGGTGTTGTACAAGAAAGAAGAAAGTAAAAGCAGAAAATATAAAAAAAAACAAAGTTAAGGACAAAAGTGCCCAATTTGCACATACTAAGAAGTAATCATTCCCGTTGGTGGAAAACACTTATACATGCAACTAAAATTTGTATATAGATGTATGTGTGTGTGTATATACATTGAGTTAATGCATTTTTATTTCTTTTTGCCTTTCCCTTTTAAATTATCAGGTTAGTTGAATGGGCACGCACTTGCCATTAGACGTTTTTTGGGTTATCATTCACAGGAAGCTGCATGAATAACGAACAGTTAAAGGCGAATGTTCGCAAGAAAGCAATTGAAATAAAATTTAACAACTTGGATACGTGCGATTGGTGTTCGTAATGCAAATCGAATAAACCCAGCATTAATAGCGGCATTTGTTGGAATTTTTAAAATCGTTTTTCCATCGTTTAACACTCGAAATTAGTACCGCTATTGGGAGTTCAATGTCCGCTAATTGAATTACGCATTGCTTTCGGACCGACCGACAAAGCCAATGTTTATGGCAGCTTCTATGGCTTCATAGCGTACATGTGCATGTATGCATGTGTGTATGTATGTGTGTGAGTGTAAGAGTAGTAAAAACATTATGCCACACTAAGCAGCACCGACGGTTACGGCAACACATTAAACGTGAGCCAGCCAAGAGCACTGGCTGTTAGCTGCTCCGGAGTCGCAATCGGTCATTCATTGTGGCGCATTAGCTGGCCGTTTGTTGGGAAGGAAAATAAAATGGAATATATTTTTGATTGCTTCTTTGAGGATACTTTTGATAAAATCACACGTAATGGCTTACAGGATCGGTCGTCGCGTCGTGATGTGTTGGATCACTTAAATGCCGTTATTGGTGGTTGCAGTGACGGTGAGTTAGGCCAAATTTGTTATATATACATACATACATACATAACTACATACATACATACATATGTAATTGTATTTGTATATTGCATATTTCACAGGTCAAAATGTGCATACGGAAGAGGTGGCGAAACTTGCCGTATTAGCCGCTGTCCGTTACCATCGTGAGAAGAAAAAGAGCAACTGTGAAGTGAGTAAAATAAATTAACTTTTTTTTGCGAACTTTGCGGTAAAGCAAAAAAGTGCAATTTGAGTTTTCAAGATTGCTGATCGCATACTATGCTTAGCTCCGTGCTAGAAAGCATGATTTGCTTCCTTCTCTTCTTCGAAAATGACAAAAAATTCGTTTCCCTTAATATATTCTTAATTTTGAGACTTTTACAAAGAAATATTGAAATTAGAATTAATATATTATTTTAATTAATCTCACTTAACTCTATTAATATTTTTTTTAGTTTTTTTTAATTTTCCATTTCTTTATTTTTATACCTTTAACGAAGTTGAAACGACATATTAATTTTAGTTCAAAGTGCAGCGTGCTCCAGTGAGAAGTGTAATTTGGTATTCAATGAAAAATGGCATTTTTCCAGATAATTCATAGGGGAATTTATTTTAGTATAAAGAGGAAGATAGCCATTAATAATGGATAACAATATCAGCCAAATGGCCGCCATAGCTAGGCTTACAGCACCTTGTACCTTTTGATGAAAATTCCTATCACCAAAACACAAAGTGGCTGGTGCAGGCCTTCAATAGCTTCACGAATTCCATCTTTGAGACTTTAATTTGACGTTGACTTGTCTTTCACATGAATCTCAAGATCGTGGTGGCAATTGCGATCACTTCAACAATAGATAGCACGGACGGAGACTTTCCCATTAGGAGTTGGATAGTTTCGTTGCTAGTGTGGCACGTCTTGTTGTGTGTAAGCGTTGTTCAGATCAATACCATCCACTTCCGACCATAAAAAATTGTTAGTCATCTTTCGATAACGCAATGAATTTACCATAATTATTGCTCCAGCCATTTTTTTTCGAGATAGTAAGATACCATGATCTCGGCGTACTATAAACCGCATCGAACAGTTACCTATTGAGGCTGGAGAGGCTTTTCAACAAGAAATCTTTGGTATTCCAAGCCTCAAATGCGATAGCTTTGCTTATTAAAGTAGCCTCATAAGTCAAGATGATTTTTCGATGAAATTCTGAATCATTTTTAGGTACTTCAAGGACTCAATCAGCAAAGAGTTCTTGTGTTAATTGAAATTTATAAGGCTTAGGACCTGGGTATGTAAGATACGGTGTAATGACGTTCAATCTCAAAGAACGCAGAGGTATGGACAATTTTGGGCTTTCCTTCAACACTTTGGGCTAGAGTAGCAATATTTTCACTTGTTCTTGAGAGACGTGCACGTGCTTTATTCTTCACATTATTAATTTGTTCCAACAGCTCCATTTTTTCCACCAATTTCTGTATTGCGCTCCGAAGAAGATACTTCACGACGACCGAAAACTGTTTCAGTTTCACGAACCGACTCTGCAAGGTTTTTACAATTTTTATAGTGAATTTAAATGATTTCAATGCGTTGTTGAATCGTGGGTCGTTCCAATTCTATTACTGTCTTAGTCTTTACTTGACATACACTGAATACGGGAACTCTTCTTTTTTGCTTTCTATTTTATTTTATAATGTTTTATTTAAATGGTTTTGTTTCAGTTATTTATTTTATTTTATATTATTTTATTCCTCTCATTTATTTAACTATATTTTATTTTTGCAAAACACTTTTGTAATATCAGTTTCTATAGATTCAGTTCTACACATACATATATACATTTTTATAACATACTGATGTACGTATACATACATATGTAAGTACCAAAGTTCGTTCTTCTTTGTTTAGGTGTGTCTAATGGGCAAATTTCATAACATTTTATATATTGCGCTGCGCACTTGCTGGGATTGGGGTGTACGAGACTCAGCTGCTGTGGTTCTATTGTTGGGTAAGTACAAACAATGCCTTACATATTGTTTTTAAAATGTAACAGTACAAACTTGTACATACATATGTACATATGTACTTGCAACATATGTATATATGTACATTATGCCAGTTACTAATATGCCGTTGTGCAAGAAGACAATTTTATAGAATTCCGTGACAATGTTTACATTTTTGCTAACCACAATACACACATGCCCACTCAGCGTCTGCGCGTGAATATGTCAAAATCGAAATGAACTTACGTAGAAGGTGTTATGTGTATTGTATGAGTATTTAATTAAAATTGTATGTCAAAAATATATATATATTTTAACGGAGCACCAAAAATAAATTCAAGATGGAACTTTTTAAAATTTCAACATAGCCTTCTTTTACAGCAACCTATTTCCTCCACGCACATGTAAACAGTAAGGAAAGTGCGTTTGTTTTCAGACAGAGCGTAACTTTTTGTTTATGTTTGCAGATAAATTATGAAATCTGTGTTTTGGAAAAGCTTTCAGTAAAATTGAAAAAGACAACAGTTCCAAAATGAGTAGAATAAAATGAACTAAAACACTCATTAGCATCACATTACAGTGATATTTTTGCTGGTTTCACTTTTCTGGTATCAAGTAGTGAGGTTTATACAAATATACACTCGTACTTTAATCTACATCCATTTGCATGTGTGGAAGTGACATCTTTAATGACTCTTCGGTTGTCTTACAAGCTTAGTGCTATTTCATGTATAATATGTATGATAGCAGATGCCGACTGAATTAATTGTGGCAAATTACGGGGCAGGCACGCCAATTGGGTTAAATGTTTGGCTGGATGTCTTTTATTGCCAAATTAACAAGCAGAATTATACGTACATGTTTAAGAAGTTGGACTACTTTCATATGAAGAAACAGAAATCTTATAAGGGAACAAGAGAAAAGAAGGAACGTAAAAAATATAAAGTAGAATAAAATAAATTAAAATAAATTAAAATAAAATAAAATAAAATAAAATAAAATAAAATAAAATAAAATAAAATAAAATAAATTAAAATAAATTAAAATAAAATAAAATAAAATAAAATAAAATAAAATAAAATAAAATAAAATTAAATTAAAATAAAATACAATAAAATAAAATAAATTAAGAAAAATTAAAATAAAATAAAATAAAATGAAATGAAATGAAATAAAATGATTTGAAGTAAAATAAAATTGATTTGAAATTAATAAATAAAATAAATTTAATTAAATTGCGCCAATTATCGTGGGGTAAGCAAGGTCATATCGAGCGTATTGTGTGAAATACTAAAGCCTACCATCAACAAACTGATTAGAACTTATCAGTGTAGTTTTAAACCCAGTAATTCAACCATTGACCAGATATTCAGCATGCACCAAATCTTGAAGTGACCCGAGAAAAAAAGATTGATTCGTCTATTTTAAAGCTTCCTTCAACAGCACGATCTGTCTTTGCGCCGCTATATCTGAATTTGGTATCCCCACAAAACTTATACGGCTATGTAAGCTGACGTTAAGCAACAGTAAAAGCTTTGTCAGGATCGGGATGGACTTCTAAGAGCCGATGGAACGATGAGCTGCACGAGTTATACAGCGACATTGATAAAATTCAGCGAATCAAGAAGCAGCGGCTACGGAGGTAAGAATATTCCAGCATGAAAGTTTTCGATGCAGTAAACGCCGATGGAAGCAGAGGAGGTGAAAGACCTCTTCTACATTGGAAAGACCAGGTAGAGAGCGACTTGCTATAAATTCGGGTATAATCAAGTAAATCACAACGTTCTTAATGGAACAGTTCGAAGGGATTTGTATATATGTAGTTGGCGTTTAGTAGCCGCTGAAGCGATTTTCGGCATAACTCCGCCTTGAATTTGTAGTTTTGCGTCTTGAAATTTTTCCAAAAAAGGGAGACCTGCAATTAATACAGAGCGAGCGCTGGATTTTCATGAGGAGTTTTTTCGTTTCAAGTCGGAAAAACCCTCGGATGGCTTAACATTAATTGCAGAGAGACGACCATAATTCAAAAAAAGGTTATTTTCTATAATTTTGAATGTTGGTCGGCCGAGTCGTCGAACGCTGGCCTATAGCATTGTACTACACACTTCTAATTACTCGGCTATAGCTGCCGACTTCAAAAAACCGTGAAAATAGTCAACTATCGGCGCAGCAGAACTAGAGAGTGAAGGTAACGAGTGAATTTACGAACGAAATTGGTTAGTGTGTGCATCAGCAATTTCTAATTGGCTCCAATCTGGGTTAGCGTAGCATATTTTTAGGGGTTCGGTAGAGATAAAGCGGGTTATGTTGAATGAAAAAGTGGCTGACAAAAGAGCACTGCAGCGCAAACTGTACTGATATAAATATGTATATATGTATATATGCATGTTTGCATGTATGTATGTATGTGTTCATACAAAGCGCTCCGCATGTGTGCGTGCAACAAGTGCGTGCATTCCATGCAATATTAGCTTATCTCTAGCAATTAGTTCCGTCAACGCCACACCATATGTATGTAAGTATGTTACCAGTGTGTCCCTCAACACACTACGTCTTTCAACTGACGCGTGAGCACCTTTGCTACCGTGTGCGTGAATTTATGCACATCCGGTCGAATGCACTGCAATTGCGCCAATCTAAGCACACAAATGTGTACATTTTAGACCGACCGAGTGCATATTTGTTTGGCGCTCAACGCAGTTGGCTTATGCAAATGCATCAGTGGCGGCTGGAGTGGTGGAACGAGTGGAAAATTTCGGTAGGCTTTCATTGCAAAACTTATTGGTGATATTTGTGCCATTTCGTACTTGGATTTGTATGAGTACATGTTTATATATGAACATACTCACATACACATATATATATATTATATATATTGAATATATGCAAATGTGTGCCTATAGTGAGTTATTGTTGTTGCATATGGTTATTGCATTGCCAATTGTGCAAATTAAATTGCCAAACTGGCGCACTTTTGCACAACACACCCAACCACACATCTACACACACGTCCTGCGTTATGGTTGCCAGAAAATTTTACTCAGGCTAAAATTCAATTTATGCCAAATAGGAGTATAACTAACAAGCATATTAAAACGAACCAGATGTACACATGAATGGATGGACGGATGGATGGATGGATGGACGGACATGCGGCTCTGTGGCCGTGTACTAAATAAATATAGTAGTATGTGTGTGTTTGGCGCAAAAGTGTGTTCTATTTCGGGGCATTAAGCGATTTTGTTCAAAATAAAACATTTAATACTCGCACATATGTATACATATACTTTAAATACTTAAATTGGTAACGTAGATAGTTCCACCTCTCAGCATAGTGTATCGTCTATATGTAAATAATTACTGCTTTTGACTGCTGAAGCTATTTTTGACCGAGGTCCCCCTTCAATTTGTGGTGTGGGTCTTGATCATTTTCCAACAAATAACCAACATTTTATTCTAAGCTAGTTTTCAATGCTAGACGGTTTTCTTTGATCTAGATTACCATTAACTTCTGCGCTAATTATCGTGGAGCTAGCCTACTAAATATCCCATATAATATTATATCCGCCGTTTGGTGTGAAATGTTGAAGCAAATCGTCAAAAAGCTGATTGGACCTTATCAATGCGGCCTTAGACCAAGTAAGTCCACTAAACATTCCCCAAACACAAAATCTTTGAGAGAACCTGTGAGAATAGAAGCGATATACACCACCTATTCGTCGATTTCAGTTTCGAGTCTAAGATGAGCTGCTTCTACGTTGCTAAGTTTGAATTGGGAAGGACCTCTCCAAGCTTATTCTAGAAAGTTTAAAACTAGCGGAGTCTGCCGATGACATTGATATCATAACCGTTTCGTCAGTTCTGTATTCTCCAAGCTGAGCAAAGAAGCGAAATGAATGAGTCTGGATGCATTATCTCTTGTCATCAAACAAACAGTCATCTTTTTCGCTACTTGGCTCTCATGTCACTGTGGACAGTCATAACTTCGAGGTCGTAAATAATTTCGTCTATCTAGGAACCAGCATTAACACCAATAATAATGACAGACGGGAAATCCAACGCAGAATTACTCTTGCCAACAGGTGCTTCTTTGGACTGAGTAGGCAATAGAAAAGTAAAGTTCTCTCTCGGGGAACGAAAACCAAACTCTATAAGTGGCAGAGGCGTGGACGATGTCAGCAACTGTTGAGGCGGCCTTGGGAGTCTTCGAGAGAGTTGTAAATCTCCGACTAATATAAAATATATTTAAATTATCACACAGTCTCTCAAGCGTAGTCATCGATATATCATAAATTGATGAAAGAGCTTCCTTTTAAAATGACTTTAGCTTTTTGGTAAAATGGTGAATATGGTGGAGCTGGTAGCCACTTCGAAATTATAAGATATTTTTAAGAAAATGTGGGTCCGTTGTGATACTGTAAACAATGTTGCAACAACACCTAAGACTCTCTTAGGACTTTCATTCCATCCTCTGCATCATATTTGCAGCTCATCAAGCAACTATTTGAAGCGCGAGCCTTTTTAGGTTTCATCCTATAAGAAAACAGCCCATTAGGATGCGAATTATCCTTGAAATAATCTGCTTTTGTACAGGGTGTGTAGCTTATGTCCTCTTTCGGTATTTTTACAGCACAGATTTTCTCGACTTGCTAGCCTCAATTTCTCAAGTAGCAGTAGCAGCAGAAGAATCTGTTTGCTTCTGTTTTGCCTCGACAGTACGTCTTCCATGTAGTTCTCTTTGATGGTTCTCTGATCAGACAACGAAGAGAGGGATAATGTTTTCGGTTCAGCCACTGCTTGAAGCGATCAGCGAGAATTGGGAACGATTTGAGAGTGATCAAGCCTTGAACTTTGGTGAAGAGAAAAATGCTACTGCGTATCTTTTATACAAGGCCAAGGTAATAACTGATGAAGATCTAGGCTTTGAGTGCTTGTAAATATTAAAAAATTGTGAAGTATCGATAACACAGTTTGTTTGCAGAACCAGTGTATCGGATCACATGAAAGATCTCTAAATTTCGTTATGTTCATGAGGTTTTTGGTCCGTCGTTTTGAATTTAAAAGCGCTTTAGTACTTCAACAGCGTAGAGTTTTGAGTTTCAATGTTATTTAGTAGCTCCAAGCTACAGTATACTTGTATGGGGGAAAAAACGTGTAGAGATTTATGTCGAGCCGAGCAGAAGTTTTGAGATCTAGATGAGAGGTTAAAAGCTTGAAAAACGAGTAAGCGGAGGAGTCTTCTCACCACTGCTGATCTCAACCTTTGCTATAAACTCATAAATTCAGGGAGATAGTAGGAAAGTGTCACTTGATGTATGCTCTTTGGAGAATTTAACTAAATTTATGGGATTCTCGAGTAGCCGTAACCGGCTTGGAAACATAACGATAGTTTAGCAGCAATATTTAGAAGATTTTACAGAAGCTGTAAGCATCAAGAAAGAAGGAGACGTTTCCTACTACCACGCGACTGTTCTGTCGCTTGTCTGATTGATCTTTGCCATTTCATTCAAGTATCCAGGTCAATGAACTGCGAGGCGATAAGGAAATTGTCGCAGTGTAAAAATAGACTTCAGTGAGCATTTCTTACAACAGTGTCCGCACAAGCTGTCTACCTAAATGAGAACGAATGAAAAAGTGTCATGGCAATCGATCAAAACTAGTTTTCATTTCTTGCATTAACTCTGCTATACCGCGGTAACAGAAAACTCTCATTGAATGGAATTTTTTCTTGATATCTACACAGAACTAAATATACAACAACACACTCTTTTTTTGTAGAGCCGCGGTCACGGTAAGCAAAATTTTCTGATGACCGTCGCCCCTCGGCAGGGAATGTCTAGCCATCCGAGTGTATTACAAGAGCTACCAATGCATTCAGAAAAAGCCACAGTTTGGTGTGGCTTATGGGCTGGTGGCATCATTGGACCGTACTTTTTCAGAGATGATGTGAGTCGTAACGTAACTGTGAATGGTGAACGCTGCCGTGAGATGATATCAAACTTTTTTTTTGCCCAAAATGCAAGAGCTTGACTTGCATGACATGTGGTTTCAACAAGACGGTGCCACATGCCACACAGCACACATAACAATGGACTTATTGAGAGGCGAGTTCGGTGATCATTTTATTTCACGTTCGCGATTATGCGATTTAAAGCCTTTAGACTAGTTTTTGTCAGGCTATGTTGTCCATACAGACAAGCCCGCTTCAATTGACGCATTGGAGGACAACATTGAAGCATTTATTCGTGAGATACCTGCCGGAATGTTGGAAAGAGTATGCCAAAATTGTACTAAGCGGATAACTATTTGGGGAAGGAGGAGGATATTAAGGAGTATGGAAATTTATAAGAGTGAAAAAGCGTGTGAAGAATAGCTTAGAAGACGCAAACAAATTGTTTATTCTAAAAATATTGCAAAACAAATTTGATTTACACACAAATAATACGCAAAATTCTCTGCACCACTTTCTTGAGTATTTTTTTTTTTGCAATTTCTATTTCTCGCTCGCTACTAAACATAAATAAAAGCGTTTAAAGAATCTCTCATGAGGTTTTCTATTATCATTTTTCCCAAATTTCTTATTTGCTTTTTCTCTTGTTGCAGAGGAAATCTATTCATGTGAAAAAACGTTTGAACGCATCTTTTTGGGAGCTTTATTCGGCCCACATGCACCACACTTCATAGCCGGTTGGCGCAGTGACTTTCGTGATCAGGTTAAGCGGATTAGCTGAGCGTGTATTTTTTTGTGTTTATTTATTTATTTTTTTTGCAAGCGAGCAGGCAAACAGGCTTGTTAGTCTCAGTTTTAATTGCTTTTACTTTATGTTTTGTGCATACTTTCGTTGGTGCTTTGTTTTATCGGCTCCATCTTACTCTCTCTCTCTCTCGCTCTGTTGTGATTTTTAAAGCAGTTTTTTTGCGCTGCATTCTTTGCATTAATTTTTTGCCTGTTTCTCTGCTCGCTTTCGCCTTATTTTTGCACGTTTTAATAATAATCTTAATAATAATAATCTCAAAATTTTCCTTTTCTCGCTATTCCTTATGTGCACTTTCCATTCTCTAAAATATGCAAATATGCAGGACGAGAACACGCGAGCAGTGGTCTACTTTCTACATCATGCCACATCGCTTTGCATGCAACTGCCAGTTTGGATTGCACGATTCGAGCAGGAACGTATGATTAAGTAAGTAAATTATATTCGTGCTCTTAAAAAAAAATAGTAGCAAAATTGAATTTTTAAATACTGAAGTTGCATCTGTTACGACATTAAGCCAAGTTAAAAATGACCTGGCTTTGTGAGAGTGAAGAGTTTTGTAAACGCACACATGTACACGTATGTATATTTCACTAAAAGAGTAGCTAAATTTCTACGTAAATTTAGTATGAATTCTCCTAGCTTCATTATCTTACATATTAATGTCGCTTAAAGCTGTAGAAACCTGATCCCGAGCATTACTTATATCTTCTCCCTCATTTTATTCGATTTTATTCTTTTTTTGCAATAAGCGGATTTGTTTAATTTATAAGAAATTTAATCTAATTATACGTTTGCGCATACATACACGTATACATGTTTTAGCTATGCCTACGTGCATATATCTAAATAAATATGTAAATATATTGTGTAAAGTGTATCTTTTTCGAAAATTGAATTATATCAATTTAATTGCATTAATTAATCATGTGCCAGACTAAGGCTGAATATGCCAACGGCACACATATGATTGGTGATGACATTTTCGGAAAATAAATGACCTACGGAAGCTGCCTGATACGAAAGTGAGTGTACTTGTACATACCTAACTAAGCATATAAAAGTATCTTTTTCGTTTGCATAGTTGCGAATTGATTTTTTCCTTAGAAATAATCCAATATTTTTTTTTAACGGTGTCGTCGAAAGTATATTTCTTTTGAATAATTAGAAATATATATATNTATCTATATGTGTATGTATGTAGATATGTCTTGAAATACATACATATACTACAAAAATAAGAGGTCTAGTAAAAAGTAATCCATTATTGTTGTATGAAATTGAATGCTTTATTTACCATAATTAAAATTAGCTGATTTATGTCAAATATGCAGAGTTGTTTTGTTCTATAATTTCTTGCCATTTTGAAGGTAATGTCATTACATATGTCTCTCTAATGGAAACTCTTGGGACAAACGATTTGCACAGCCTTCTCTGAAACCAATTCTTCACTAGCCAAAACAGACGCCATAAACAGCAACAATTGGCAATCTCTTAATGTGAAGTCTGCACTAAAAAGTGGATGCATTAAAACCCAATCAAGCTGCTGGCTTGGTCACGATCGATGTGTGTGGTCTGTCGTTGTCCTGATGTAACAGAATTCCCTTCCCGTTGGCCAAAGCAAGTCATTTTTGGGCGCTTGATTCCTTCAGACGGTACTTTTGATGAGAACACAGACCCAATTTTGATTATAGATTTCTAGTGTAAGGGAGCAGTTTAGAGTGTATGTTTTCTCGGAAATCACACCAAACCCACAACGAAACTTTCGTCAATCATGGTTCGGCGACTGTTTGTGCCGGCTCACTGCTCTTCGACCACAACCGATTTTATTTAACGTTGCTGTCAGTGAATCACTTTTCATCAGCAGTTACCATTCACTTTAGAAGTGGGCCGATTTTGTAACGATTCGGCGGCGATTCACTGATGAAAATTCGTTCCATGAGGTGAACTCATATGGCACCCACACATTGAGCTTCTTTGGGTATCTAGCCTTTTTCAAATGGCTCCAACCTGTGTTTTGCGCAATGTTTAGCTTCTGTGCAATCGGATAAATGATCGCATGACAGTAACACTCGAGGAATAGAAATCCTTCGCGACTTTTAGACAATTGGTCTTCCACCCTGTGGAGCATCATTAATATCAAATTACCGTTGTTTGTCGACAGTACCGAAATTGTGCATGATTGAATGTTACAGTATCAGGACCATCTCCACTATTCACATTTCAGCTGCTTGACTTCGGTTTTTGCCTTTCTCGAAGAATAATTGTAGAATATAGTGTATTTTCACTTTGGTGATGTCCACCTTTGACAAGGCTCAAACACTGCTGAAATAGTTGAGCAACACTTTTCTCCTTATCTTTACAAAATATCATATTTCAAACCCCATCTAGTGTAATCCAAGCGCACTGAAAGAACGCACTGAAAGAACGCGAGATACAGAACGCTAAAGTCTTCTATTGCATAAATAATGGATTACTTTTTACTACACCAATATTTCTCTCAGACATTTAGGAATAATTTTTTTTTATAAAATTAACTTTAGGAAATATATTTATTTCAAAAATGTAAAAAAAGCCGCATCAACGGAGTATTTATAAGTGTATACTACCATGCGAAGAGCCTTGGGTTTCAATCCGCAAAATAAAATTCTCTAGAAAACTCCAATGCCGACTCGTCGAATACTGTCATCGTCTATGGTTTAAAGATTAATTCTGCTATCTGAAAAATCAGTTACAGGGTGGCAATATGACATCGACTTTTGATTTCGTTGGGTTACTTTGGTGATTTGAAATTTATTATAGAAGCGAAGAATACCGAATTTCATACCCTTAAATAGTTTACTGAGGTATTTATTAGCCAAAATTGCATACCTGAAGAAATCGATTGAATGTTAGCTTTGTGATATAATCAACCGATCTACCCAGTTTCATCAAATGCTTTGTAGATTGCAAAAATACATGCTAACTTTCGTTTTAATAGCTCAGAGGGAGTAGTTTCCGTTGAAGCAGACAGACGGTCATATTCACTCAGCTCTCAGAGGGTTATGATTTTCACTCAAGTTTTTCTTTTTGCGGTCGCTCCTTGACAGGGGCTGTCAAGTACGTATGAAAAAAAGAGCTGCTCATAAAAGTCCATCAGTCTTTCGAAGGCGTCATGGAATAAACTGTATGTCACTCCATACAGACGCGCTCCACAAATTGGAGGAGAAGCTTGGCCAAAAATCCCCACTCCCCAATTAGATAATATCAATATAGCATACTTTTTTGTTAGCTTTATGTATGTGAATGACATAAAATATTTTATAACCTTAAAAGTGCTATCTTCACAAATAAACAAATGTATATCTATATTTTTCCATTAACATACATTCAAATTCAGCTAGGATTTTTTCTTGCTGGCGCCTGGAATTTTTATCACCTGCCTCTTTTCCTATATACTCGTACATTACATTGTGTATTTGTCTGTGGTATTCCTACTGCTGATTTTCGGTTCTGCTTGTGTGCTTCTGGTAATGCCTTACAATGACATTTTAAAATTTTTCTTTAGTTCACATTTTATTCGCTCATAAATTTTCCTAATTCCCTTCCTTTTTTACTATGTATTGAGGGTAGGTATTTTATTCTTATTTAAATTTATATTTGCTGTTAACGTCTGTGTGTGTGTGACCTTTTCAATTTCCAATGAAATTGTGTCAGCTGGCAACACCTATAAATAAATAGTACCATAAATTATATAAAAAGAAAACATACAAAATCCGAAGACGTGGTTTGTTAAGATGGTGCTGATGTGTGTGTGTAAATTCGGTGTGAATTTTTGTGAAATGTAGGATCTTTATATTACTGGTGGAAATATAATTTGTTGTTGTAAGTTTCAGGTAAAAATATTCTCGTGAAAAGTAAGGAAAATAATATCGAATTTAATATCCAAACCCTTTGGCCAACACCTTGACCCATGCAGCAAGTCGAACCCGCCTGCGAAGAAGAGACAAAGCAGCCTTCTAAAGAGCAACGTCAAGCCAGCAGCCCATTTCTACTAATGGGTTTTATGTTTTAATTAAGTTTAAGATTTTATTATTTATTGCTAGGCTTCCGATATCGAAGCAGATTCAATTAATAAATATTAATGTTTAAAAAAAAAATATTTTATTAAAAATAAGAATCGTAATAATACCGTCAGAAGACAATTTCCTAACACCAAATCCAAGATAATAGAAAGATCTTTCATTTTTCTAAGTTCAGATTATGCATTTATTGGAAGACCGAAAAACTGCTTGGGCAAAACTCGTTCCAAACTTTTAATATTCCAAAAATAAACGTGAAATTAGAGAACAAAAATCCATATTAATTATCGAAAACCAATTTGTGTTTTTTGAAAAGGTTTTCCATTGAGATCTATACATTTTTACAGGCGTTTGAATCAATTGCCAAAGCACTTTTGCCACTTGAAAGGCCTCGAAAAACTTTGTCTTCATTCCAATTGAGTTTTCAAAAATGTAGTTCTTTTAGCTGATGTGTGACAGCTTCCATTGTTGAGGTGAAAGCGGATCTATTGGTTAGAGTGGGGTTTGGTTTTCCTAATTTCTTAAGAGACAATTGGTTGCGCAACAAGCAAAATTTACTACTCTGCTTTACTCGAGTGGTTCGGTTGCCCAAAAAAAAAGGATTAGCCAATTGCTTGAAAGTGCTTTCTGAACGAATAGACTGCTAGTAGATTCGGCTCATCTTTAAACACCCATACAATCGACGTGTTTCAACGCAACGATGTCGTTTTTTAAAATTTCTTCCGACCAATCGACACTAGTCTTCTTTGGGTGATTAACCCATTTTGTGGAATCGACCATGAACCATTTTTTTACAGTCAAATGTTCATGCAATATTGAAGTTATTTGGCTCCGAACCCACGATAGATCAAATAACCATATTGCAATATCAATTTGCATAAATAGTTTCCAGAACAACAACTGATTTCACCACACCACACCACCGATAAACACTGGTTCTTGAAGGAGTTTCATCACCAAAAACTGAATTAAGTTCATCGATGCTGAGTTAATCGCGAGAAAACGTTCTGCATACGTATAATATCAGAAGTGTCAAGCTTTACGCTTGAGTTATCAGTTACCAAATTGCAAGACTAGAGTTTTCAGATCTCGAAATAATAAGATAAGAAAATTATTTTAAAAAAATGTATCCTTCTAACGTCGACCCTCGCCAGAGACTTCTTACGGGTTTATTCCTAAGATGAAAAACGACGCTCCTTAATAATTAATAAAATTTTAAATCGTCGGAATGTGAAATGTTGAAATATATTTTTGGAGAACTAAAATATTCGGAATATAAGTGGAGGTACTTATTGTAGTTTTTTTAACATTTATTATTGGTTTTGTTTTCGTTTAACTTTATTTTTATATTTATTTTGGTTTTAAAGTTCGTTTACAATAATATTTTTGCTTCAACTTTAAATTATTTTAATTTATCTTCTTTTTCTAACTTATTTGATTTTATATGCTTTTCAGGTCATTATTCTGTTGAATTGTTTTTGGGGTTTTTATGGAACCATTTCAGATCATATATTTTTTTTAGAAATAGTGAAAAAATTTATTTTGGTTTATTTTATTATGTGCTACATTATATTTTAAACATTCATTAAATTTTTTTTTAATTAATGTATAATGTATAATTTATTATTATATTATATATTTGATTTTCCTTTAAATCATTTTATTTCTATTTTTTCTTCTTTTACTTTGCTTAATTTAATTCAATACTTTTTATAATTTGTTTTCGTGGCTATGTTATACCGTAATTTTTTGATATAAGTATTAAGTAAACTACGAGGCCAGGTTGGTTGTATGAATTGTTGGTTCGATCCCTGCCATAAGAAGTCTGATGAGGAGATGTAGTGATCTCCGAAACAGCTGTCACTTCTACCATTTTTCTTTGTTGTATAACAAATATTCAATTCATACAAATAACCAGGCCTCGTAGTTTACTTAATACTTTTTAATTTATTTTAATTTTTTTTTTGTATTTTATTTTAGTTTATTTTTTATATTACTTAAAAAATTTTTATTTATTTTTTTATATATTTTTTATTTATTTATTTTTATTTTTGTTTATCTATTATTACTTAATATAATTTCAAATATATTTATTTTATTTCTTTTAAGTTTTTATTTTATTTATAATAATTTACTTTATTCTTTATGATTTTATTTTATTTTATTTTGCTGTATTTTATATTAGTTTATTTCTCATATTCCGTAAATAATTTTTTTTATTTTCATATATTTTTTATTTTTCTTTTTGTGATTATAGCTTATCTTATATGTATTATTTCATTTAATTTCAAATATATTTATTTTATTTAATTTTTTATATTATGTTTATAATAATTTATTTTATTCTATATGTTTCATTTTACTTTATTTTTTTGTATTTTATTTTAGTTTATTTCTTACATTCCTTAATTAGTTGTTTTTTATTTTTTATACATATTTTATTTTTTTTTGGTTTTACCCATTTAATTTAATTTATTTTTTAAAATTTTTTTTATTTTATTTATAATAATTAATTTTATTCTATATTATTTTATTTTATGTTATTTCGATTTATGTTATTTTACTTTGTAATATTTTTTTTTAACCTGATTCCTTTTGTTTCAGTTTCAGTTATTTTATTTGACTTTATAATATATTAATTTTTTTGACTTTGGTTAACTTTTTGATCTTATCTAATTTAAAATTTTTACTTTATTGCAAATAAATTAATTATATTATAATATTTTTTTCTTATTTGTTTTTCAATTATTTGTGTTACTTAAATTAATATTTTTTTTTTCAATTATTTTGCTTTAATTTATTTTATTACTTTTTACATGGAGTTTGTTTTTTTTTCTGATTTTTTATTTATTTATATAATACATTTTTGAGTTATTTGATTATCGTACTTTTTTACTTTATTTCGCTGATATTTTCATTTTTATCTTTATTTAAATTACATAACTTATACCTCCCACCATTGAAACGATGTTGTTTGAATTGGAAAAATTAATCAATTTCCGCACCATTTACTAGCATTAAGCATTGCTCACCTTAACCCAATACATTTCTTTCAATGAAGAATTTTTATATTTTTTTCGATGAAATATTTCGACACTCTAAAACTTATGCAAATTGACAATATATACTGGTTTTTCGCACGTTTTAACAATTTCATGCCACTTACATGCATACAAAATACATAAATATGTTTTATTTCGTAAATTTTTCAGATTCATTGACATTCCGATCGAATCGTGCGGCCGCTCATCACCACTACGTGTTGCCTTACAGGCGAGTGCGCCTGACCTGCTGCTAATTTTATTAAGGTAAACAAGTGAAAATGTAACGGAACATACAATACTTTTAGATAAATTAACGAAAGGCGGCGAGTTGGAAAACAGTTTGCAGCGACAATGCAGAAACATTTGTTATGATACTTCACGCTCCATACGAAGTGTGCTGCCCTCTTAGATAATTTCCCAATGTGCAACATAGTGCAAAAGCGATAAAGTTTCCCATTTTGTTTTGCTTTCTCATAAATTCATTTTTAGTTTGAAGTATTTATTTCAACATTTCTTCGCTATAGATAAGTTTTTATTCCTTGCACTTGGCCGCATCTCGCGAGAAGTGAAGTGAATTGTATCTTTGTGAAACACACTTGCATATCTATACTCGTACATACATACATATTTACATAAGTAGTGCGCAGTCCGCTGCATTCATAACTGTTTAAGAATTTTATATTTGAAATATATGTATGTGGGCACCTATGTTTGTGTGTTTAGTTATCAAAATAATTCGCTCCACTGCACCACTCTTCGATACCAGCTGTTGTGTGTTTGTGCATTATATTTGTATTTGTAATTATTGCATAAAGAAACGACTGAAGGCTATACTGGAAAATACTCTAACAAAAGAGAGAGTTTCCTTGCTACAGTAACAATATTTGAAACAACGGTAGAGAAGAAATACAAGAATACGGCAATAAAACGCTTAAGATACGCGTAATTTTTCCAATTATTTTCTGTTTTACTTGGAATGCTCATTCTTCTTTTTACGGCATGCAACAGTGACTTCCTCAATGCTGTAGTCAGGAAGTATTGCGAATAATTATATATATATATTATATGTATATATGTATATATGTACAATAAGTATATAACATATACTCTCTACATTGTCCTTGAATTCAAATGAACATCATCGCAAATGGTTAAGCTCTCAAAACCTTATACAAGAACAACTCATTAAAAGTTAGCATTCGAGTACTCTGTCCGTATATGCTTTCAAACCCATTAGAGTATGAGTTCCCTAAAAATTTGTGTCAAATCAATACAGGGTTAATTCTTGAAAAAAAGTTTCTATATTCTAAATTCTATAATCTATATTCTATATTCTATATTCTATATTATATATTCTATATTCTATATTCTATATTCTATATTCAATATTCTATATTCTATATTCCAGAAGCAGTGAGTTGGCTGTTTCATTCTTTTTCATTTCCAAATGAAATCCATTTGTTGTGCCAAAAAAATTAACGAAAATCACTTAAACAAACCTTACCAATTTAGTTTGGCTTCTTTTCTGTTATAAAAAAAATTGATTGTCAGCATGAAAATTAAAACGCTGTTTTCTTTTGTAGTAAATGTATATTGATTGAAATTTACATTCTATTCACTAACGTACAAAACAAGAAACCAACATGCACACTCATCATAAATTCGCTTAGTAAGCAAGTGGTGTCACGCCCAATGGATTTCCTTATACCCATGCAGTGTATCCAAACGCAGTCAAGTTGGCTAGTTAGCTTAGGTTAGATCAGAATTGCATTGCATCAGTCGCATGGTGAAACGAATAATTTGACAGTGCGCCAAAAAGTATGCCACCGTTAGTTCAATTTGCTTGCCAAAGGCGCGGGTGTCAAGGCAAATTTCAACTGTGCCAGATTTTTATTGCACATCCACTATGTGAGGCGAAGCAGCAGTGGAAAACAAATTACGTGAAAGAGTCATAACGAGAGAAAAAATCGATGGTGCCAAAAATATAAGGAGAATAATGTGTTTTGGGTTGAGTTCAAAGAAAGTGTTGCAAATTTTTATTGACACACACAGTAGTTGATGAGTGCCACAAGTTGCGCCGAAATGTGAGAGCATTTGAATGGGAAACGAATGAGTGGACACACATAGAGGAAATATGCGTTGAGATGATTGCTGGTGAACGGTGTCAGTTGAATCTCTACGGAAAAGAAAAAAAAAACGTCAACGTCTCCACACACTGGCATAAGTAAACAACAAAAGCGTATATATAGATGCTACTTAATAGCATCTCTATAGGAACAATTTGCCATGTGCAAACACAGCTCTTCAGCCAACGCACATACCCCCACAAACATACCTAATTGATGCCATTAATGGTTGAACAACGTTCTGATTGCTCACGGTATGTGGAAATAGTTGAGAAGGCAAAAAAGTTTCTGAAATCACTTCGCAGACAAAAGCTGAGAAATGCAATAAAAATGGTCACATATTGGAATGGAGCAATCAAATTTTACGATCGTTGCAAAAATGAAATATTTAAATTTTTTTTCAAATTATTTGCTAAACCGCAATTGCGTCAGCAAAATGTGTATGACAATGAGTTATAATGTGGCGAACAGTTTTCAATTTTTAAAGGAATTTCAATATAATGGGTTTGATAAAAAAATAGAAGTGTATAGTTTGATAATATAAAAATATGTAAGCCTACAGCCGGGGTCCACAGGCAGTTTTTTACAATTCACAGAATCAAAAAATAAGAAAATTAAGAAAATAAAAATAAAATGCTATTAAATATGGGGGCAGAATATAATCGGTTCTTGGTAGTCCTATGACATCTTGGAAATCTTCTGCTCTGATATCGAAAGGAACTCAGAAGGAAACTGATTGAGGAAAGTTCTTTTTAAGATTGAGGAAAGTTCTTTTTAAGATTAAAGAAAGTCTTTTCCAAGAGCTCTGCTATCTCGAACTATACCCAAACCTGTAATAGCGTATAAGCAACATCTTGCAGAGACAAGCTGTATGTTCTAATGGCTAGTTCCCTGGGTGCTCTGAGGAATGCCATACTTTTCCAAGCAGTTTCCCAAAACCTACAACTAATGTTGTCTATCATTAGCCACAACAGATTAACAGCTGGTATCTTCCTCACTACATGCTGCAGCTGAGATCTTGTGTTCTTTTTATCAAAAGTCAGAAGGAGGACAAGACATCATAATCTTTGTGCATATGCCAAAGTGCCTACTGGGGTACCAGCTTGTCTACTCTTAGGATGAATCGGTTGAAACGCTATTCACAACATTGTGACGAAGGGTTTTCTCGATATTCAGGGAGCTTCTATTAATATCTGACTCAAGATAGTCACGACCGCACTCTGAGAAATGGGACTTGGAGCGCTCTTAGAGAGACAATCGAAGTCTCTCTTGGAAGGAATAGGGTAATCATCTCTAAATTAGGAAACGTATTTGCAATTAGGTATGTCTCTGTTAAGTTCTTTCTTAACTCACAGATAGTACACGATGACGACATCGACCTCACAGCGATTGGATGATAGTGGTCTCGAGGTGAATATTTCAAAGAAAGAATTGACACTCTTCATGTTAAATATATAATCATGTAGAAACTGCACAGGCCACGCCCACATGTTGAATTCTGCACCATTCTTGGAAGAGTTGGATTGCACAACTTTGCTTTTAAAAATACTTTCTGAACGAAAATTCCAGAAGAAGGAATGGGAAAACGCAACCGTTCTGGATCAACCATTTCCATTTTCACTGACGGCTCAAAACTCGTTGGCAGGGCGGGTTGTGGAGCCCACTTTGAACCACTTGCAATCGATATGGTCAAGAGACTTTCCGATCATTGAAACGTCTTTTGAACAAAAAAAGTTGGTATACTCATTTTTGTAAAGGAACTTTCGATGACTAGCAGGGTTACAGGTGTCAAAGTTTACGATAGGACACAGATCGTTTCGGCATATCATGTGGTTCTTCCAAAGTCGGATATATTATTCACGTATATTCAAATTCGCAATATTTTTCCAGGAATACACATTTCAGTACGTTTTTTCTCTGGTTTTAATGACAGCCAAGTAATACTTTTATCCTAGGCCGATAGCTCCAGCTGCTAGTTGCCTTTAATGTAAAGGAATTATTCATATGTAATTATTTTTCATTCAAATAAATAAATAAAAACTCGTTTATATCAAAATTCGTATTCTCATTCCCGAAATTCAGTATCCAACCTCTAATATTCACAGTGCAGTCGAGTTTTTGAGTCTACAGCTACTTAAGACAAGTGAAATCGTTTCTCCCTCCGTTCGTTCATTTGCAGATGCTCCCAAAAATAGGACCTGCCTTTTCCCATTTCCAGCAGCAAATATCAGTGTGAAGTTGACAATTTAAGAGACACTGCTTCTGCATAGTCTTTAGTTCCGATTCGAGGCCTTGATAAAAAGTGATTTGTTTATTCTTTCAAGCATTCTGTGCTCAGATGAGTAATTTCTAGGGGTTGTTGTGAAGTAGACCAGAGATTTTGGTGCTGCCTACTCCACATTGAAGACGTGGCAAATGCGTTTCTTTTTTACCAAAAATAAATTTTTATATTTTCGGCGGCTTTTTTGATATCTCGCATTTTTTAATATATTTACAAAATACAAAAAAAAAAAATATATATATAAATAATGTCAACAAAATAATGACACATTTTTTTTAGTACTTCATCTTATTTTCAATATCTCACCCATTTTGTTATTTTATCTAGCAAAGAGATTTCATTTCTTTTATTTTCTTATTTTTTCCACAGTAACTTTCACAAATCGAATCCATTTTACAATTTTCTACACCGTCATTTGTTATGCTAATGACTTTCTATTTTTTCCACTTAACTATCACATGCTCGTATGTATGTATTAGTTGTCATGGGTGTAAGCATTTTACGTTGAACTTTGCACTGTGATTGGTTGTAATTGCAAATCCCTCAAGGTAAACATGCTCAATGGTATTGTACACTTACTTACACGTTTTATTGTTGCACAAGTCAAATAGAAAATCACGTGTACATATGTATGCATGTACTCGTATGCAGACTTCAACATGCATTTATATATTGTATATGGACTAGTAAAAAGTAATCCATTATTTTTGCCATATATGGGTGTAGTGAAATGTATATCCCTTCCTATAAGCGTGAGCGGATCCCGCCAGGTGGGCTTAGAAAGGTTATAGTTTTTACTAAAAAGACAGAAAGAAAAGTGTTGATCACTTAACTTGGGAGCATACCAAAGATGGACA